ATTGTCCAAAGCTATCTAGAACCTGGTGGTATAAAGAGCAGAAGGAGATAAATTAGACGATTTGTTGTTGTTGTTGTTAAGTGCCATCAAGTTGGTTCCGACCCATAGCGACCCTGGATAGGGTTTCCGAGGAGCGGCCACCAACCTTACATTACTAGGTGATTAAGATCTCCTAAAATGTGGACACCTATGTGCATCGATTATTTGGATCAAGACTATCTATGGACCACATTGTGGCATATAAGTACTCCATTGATGGGCATTTAGGGTGTTTCCATCTTTTAGGTATGGTGAAAAGTGCTTATATGAACATGGGTGTGCATATACCTACTCCTGTCATGACTCTTGTTTCTATAGGATTTTCTACAAGTAGTGGGATTGCTCCTTAGAAATTTGGTCTTTCTATTCCCAACTGTATTATGGAATGAACATACTGTTTCCCACAATGGTTATACTATTTTACAGTCTCACCTCAATACCACTGACAGCATTTGTTGTTTTTCCTTTTCTGAACTTGTCTATTAATGCTGGGGTGAGATGATGTCTCATTGTTGTTTTGATTTGCATAAACCAGCTCTGTAGGAAAATCAACTTCAATATATGTATACATATCCATGTACAAATATCTTCTCTCAAGCCTGTATCTATCTATACACACACACACACACACGCACACGCACACACACACACACACACACACACACACACACATATATATATTCTGGCTTGAGAGAAGATATTTGCTGCGGTAGAAGATACAAGGATGAAAGTTATGAAAACTTGTTAGATATAACTGAACAACTTGAGGAAATGAGTCATGGGGTCTGGAGACTCAGGAAAATAGTCCCAGGGGACACCATGGTCAATTGACATAATATAGTCCAAATGATGTTATACATCATGCTTGGGTAAGTAGCAACTGATGTCTTAAAAGTTTGTGAGAGGTTATATACTGGTTTCTCCAACAGAGGAAATAAAGGTAATGAAAATTAAAGATGCATGAAAACATCAATGACAATGATGCCCAGGTATTACTACCAACAGCTTTGAAAGCTGTCACATTAGGAGGTCTTTGACAGAGTGGGAGAAAAATTAGAAACAAATCATAAAATCATAAACATTAAAGTCATAAAAAAGACCAGATTTTTTTCATTAGATATAGACTGGTAGAACCCAAGACTGTGCCCCTTAGTCACTCTGTAGGTCTTGAACTGAATTCATCCACATAGCACTTCATAGTCAAGCAACAGGTAGGTCTATCCTGGTGTGGTGCTGTGGGTTGGTTTGAACCACAAGGTTGGTGGTTCAAGCTCACTAGCCCTTCCTTGGAAAGAGGGTCACATATAGGGTTGCTATGAGTCAGAATAAACTCAACGGCACTTAACAACAGCAACAACAGTTATGGGAACTATAACTCTAATAAAGTACTCACACCTTAGAATAATCAATCATTTGTGATCAAAAGGCCAGCATTTATTCAACGACAAAGTTCAGAAGAAATAGGATAGAAAAGGGACTGGAAACTAAAGAAACAGAGAGGAAGTGGTGTATGTGATGATACATTGAGGGACTTCAATCAGTGAGATGAAACAAAACATTTATGAATTGATGAATGTAAAACTGATGAATGTCTTCTGTAAAGCCTCACATAATTCACAATATAAAGTTAAAAAAAAAAAAAAAGGGAGGGGGTTTCTGAAATGGGACTCCTGGAGGATATTTGGTTATCTGCAGTGGGAGTCTTTGTGCCTAATATTTGAGCATTAATTTGAATTCAGTCTGCATATACATTCAATTATTTTGATTACTTTGATTAGTCAATTTAAAATTGACTACAGGTAGTCACTGATTGACAATGTATTCAAGTAATGACAAACCCTATTTATGACCTTCTAGTAGTTTCTGTGCTGTTTTTTTTGTTTTGTTTTTTGTACATCTTTATAGTAATCTGTACTGCATACATTGTTGCAGTACATAATCTGCTGATGTTTAGTATTGGGAGTCCTAGTATGACACTGTGGGTTAATGCAGTAGACCTCAAGATTGTTTGAACTGCAAGATTGGTGGTTTAAGCTCACCAACTGCTCCTCCTAGACACTACACCGGGTCCCTAAGAGTTGGGTCCAACTTGACAGCACTTATTAACAATAACAACAACAAATAGCATATTAGATTATGAATTGGGCTGCTAACCACAAGGTCAGCAGTTTGAATATTCCAGTCTCTTCATTGCAGACAGATAAGACTTTCTGCTCCTGCAAAGATTTACAGTCTTAGAAACCTTATCCGGGATCACTATGAGTCAAAACTGACTCACAACACACAACCACCATCACTACCATTATATATTCTCAGATATTCACTCATATATACATAAAGACAAATAAAGACCAGAGTTATGAAGACACTTTTAACAAAAGGCCATAGCAATAATAAAAGGGGGGTACTGAATTTGATTTCTGTAAGAAACAACCAAAAATTACCAGAACAGAATGCCATTGGAAGTTGGGGAGTATCTGTAACTGCTTTGTTGTTGTTGTTGTCATTGAGTTGGTTTAAACTCAGAGTAACCCTGCATGGAGGTTCCAAGACTGTAAATCTTAACAGAAGCAGAAAGCCTCATCTTTCTCCTATAGAGTGGCTGATGTGTTCAAACCACCGACCTTGTGGTTACCAGTCCAGTGCTTATCCTACAGTCACCATGCCCCATAGTTGCTTTACTAAAGGCACAATTTTAAATTGCTATCTCAAATGCTCTTTACTGGTTAAACTCCATGATGTTACTGCTGTTGTTAGGTGCCATAGAGCTGGTTTTCACTCATTGTGACCTATGATGTTGTTATTGTTGTTAAGTGTCATCGGGTAAGTGATGACCCATAGCGACCCAGTATAGGGTTTCCAAGGAGTGGCTGGTTAGCTTGAACTACTGACCTTGTGATTCAAATGACTTTGCAGTCCAGCACATTATCACATAGTGCCACACCAGAACTCCTGGTGAACTATGTAAAAATAACAAATACTATCCTCTCCCTGGCCGATTCTCACATTCATTCCTGGTTCAGCCCATTATTATAGCACCTGTGTCAATCCATTTCTTTGAGTGTGTTTCTCTCTCTCTCTCTCTCTCTCTTTTTTTTTTTTTGGCTGACCCCTTACTTTACTAAATGTAATGTTCTTGCTCATGGACTGGTCGCTCCTGATAACATGTCCAAACTATGTGAAACAAAGTCTTGTTATCTTTGGTTCTAGATAGCTCTCTGTCTTAATTACTTCCAAGCCAGGTTTATTTGATCTCCTGGCAGTCCATCGTATATTTTGTATTCTTTGCCTACACTATAATCAAAAGGCATAGCTTTTCTCTGGTTTTCCTTATTATTGTCCAGTTTTCATATGCATGTAAGATGACTGAAAATATCATGATTTGAGTCAGGCACAATATAGACCACAAAGTGACATTTTAGCTTTTGAACATCATAAAATGACCTTTGCATGAGATATGCACAATGCAATATGTTGTTTGAGTTCTTGACTGTTGTGTTATGAACATTGATAATGTATCCAGGTTAAATGAAATACTTGACAAATATATTGGTCTAGTTATGAAGAGTATTGTTAACTTTATGTTAGAGTATGTCTTTATACTCAAGGCTGTAGTCTTTGATCTTCATCATTAAGTGCTTCAAGTCCTCTTTTATTTAACCATATTAGTTTTCCTTCAAATCTGATGCTATGTTTTTCTTTATATAGTGCAGCTTTTCAGATTGAGTAGCATAAAGACTGAAAAAGTATGGTGAAAGGATACAAGTCTGATGCATACCTTTCCTGATTTAACATTATATAATTCACCCTTTTTGTGTCCATACAATTGTTTATGTACTATACATTTTCATAATATTTTTATTTGATATTCTGAAATTTCATCTTGAAAACAGAAGGACCCTACAATTGGCATAACTTAAGTTCAAAAGCTATATATGTTTAAAAAAATATCCATTATAGTACTGTAACGTGGAATTACTTCTAGTTGCCATCCAGAAGGCTCAACTCATGGTAACCCCATCTTACTTGGAATATTAAGTATAAAATATTATAAACTACATAGCTTATATTACAAAAATTAAATAAAGTTAAATTCATTTTAACCAAGTCTTTAATTTCCTACCTGCATATATATTGTTTATATTTTTCAGAAAAAGGCAAAAATCAACTCTCTATATTAATAAGAACATACAAACAAGAAAGGCATAGGAATTCTGAAACTATGTAGGAATATCTTTATTATCACTGATATATGTCAAGTAGCAGATAGTAATTAAACACCTAATAACTATTGATGTTATTCTACTCTGTGCCCAGTAAAATTATCTGACTTGAAGAAACAACTATTTCCCTTTACTTCCCTCCTTCATTACTACTATAAAGGATTGACAATAGCAGTTACGGGCTTGTTTAAAATTCATTAAAAAACTAATATACAAAAATATTATCACTTAAGCTATAATTATTTTATGAAATATTAAATTATATACTATAATGCATATCCCTATCGCTATGAGTTGGCACTTAACAATAACAACAACAACAATGCATATCAGGATATACAACTGTTAATATGATCGATTCCTTGTTTCAAAAGAAAAATAAATGTAACTAAAACAAACTTCAGACACCATAATTCGTGGATGTCATTGTTTAGATTTCTTATCTTTGATAAGTACTCAGAGAAAAAGACCTACAGCTATTACTGTTGAAGTAAGTGAAAATCTACAGAAACCCATTAGTTGCTGTTATTGAGACTAAATTAAAATAAATGCATCTCGCCGACAAAATATTTATCTTTAAGAGTTTACATAAAGTGATTTTTATTGTATATTTAATAGCATTCATACAAACATTTAGAGAAGATTAGAAGAATGTAAAATTACATTTTAGTAATTTTTTATGTCTTTTTATATAATTTATGTATACGTATACAAGAAAAATAAATTCTTATAACTTACCTCTCTTAAGATTTCTGCTTGAACTTGTTGTCTTATATGAATGACATGGGCAACGTCCTTCACATTTGACAGAAATCTGTTTTCCTAAGACACATGCCTGATATTCTAGTTTGCACTGTATAGAAAGAAAAAATAATTCAAATACATTTAGTTACATCAATATAAAGTAAAGAAAACCTTAGAAAGAAATGTTTTATGCATAGAATTTGAATTTTTGTAGACACTTATCTCCACATGTTGTGATTGTTGTTAAGCGCTGTCAAGTCAGTCTAACTCATATTGATCCTGAACAGGGTTTCTGAGGAATAGCTTGTGGGTTTAGGCTGCCAATCTTGTGGTTAGCAGTCCAATGCATATCCTACAGTCACACCAGAACTCTCCATATAGTAAGTTAAAATTTTATATACTCATGGTATTACTGATTTCATTGAGGAGACAGAGATGCAATTTTGTGGGTATCATTTTGGTGAGTCACTTGCACATCATTGAATGGCCTATCTTATAACATAATAGGCAACCCACTGTAAAGTATAAATTTTTGATTAGCTGTGTTTATGAAATGCAATACTGGTTAATTATGGTTTTTCACAGAGATATTATAATGTCAATACACACAGAATAAATATGCACATTATGTATGAAATAAAAAAAAACTAGAAATCATACCGTGCATGTGATTTATGAATTGAGCTTTGTATAGGTCTTTGTTGTTGGTTGTATTGTTAGGTGCCATCAAGTTGGCTCTGATTCATAGTGATCCTAAGCAAAGAAGAACAAAACACTGACTAGTCTATCTCTATCCTCACAATCATTGATAAGCTTGAGTCCATTGCTGTTGCCACTGTGCCAATCCATCTCATTAAGGGTGTTTCTTTTTTGTGCTGATTTTCCACTTTACCAAACTTGATGTTTTATTCCAGGGATTGTTGTTGTTGTTGTTAGGTGCCATTGAATCTGTACTGACTCAGTGAGACCTTATGAACAACAGAATGAAACACTGCTCGATCCTGGCCAACCTCACCACTGTTGCCATGCTTGAGTCCATTGATGCTGCTACTTGGCCAATCTTATCTCGTTGGGGGCCTTCCTCTTTTTCTCTGACCCTCCACCTTACCAAACATGATATCCTTCTCCATTGACTGGTCTCTCCTGACAATATATCCAAAGTATGAGACACAAAGTTTGGCCATCCTGGCCTTCAAGGAGCACTCTGGCTGCACTACTTCCAACATGGATCTGTTGGTTCTTTTAGCAGTCCATGGCACTTTCAATATTCTACTCAAACACCATAACTCAAATGCATCAATTATTCTAGGGTCGTCCTTATTTACTGTCCAGTTTTCTCATGTATATGAGGTTATTGAAAACACCATGGCTTGGGTCAGGCACACCTTAGTTTTCAAGCTGACATCTTTACTCTTCAACACTTTAAAAAGGTCTTGTGCAACAGATTTGCATAATGCAATACATCCTTTGATTTGTTGGCTGTTGCTTCAAAGAATGTGAGAGTTGATCTAAGATGAATGAAGTCCTAGACAACTTCAATTTTTTCTCCATTGATAAGAATGTTGTTTATTGGTCCAGTAGTGAGGATTTTTTTTTCTTTACATTGAGATGTAATCCATTCTGAAGGCTGTGCTCTTTGATCTTCATCAGTAAATGTTTTAAGTCCTCTTCACTTTCAGCAAGCAAGGTTGTATCATATGCATATCGCAGGTTATTAATGGGTTTTCCTCCAATCCTAAGGCCACATTTTTCTTCATATAGCCCAGCTTCTCAGATCATTTGATCAGCATACATGTTAAATAAGTATGGTGAAAGAATAGAACCCTGTCTCATATCTTTCTTCATTTTAAACCATTCAGTGTTCCCATGTTCTGTTTGAATAACTGCCTCTTTGTTCATATACAAATATACATATGCTCATTTCTCATGAGCACAATTAAGTGTTCTGGAATACTCATACTTTACAATGTTGTCCATAGCTTGTCATGGTCCACACAATCAAAAGCCTTTGCGTAGTCAATAAAGCATAGGTAAGCCACTTTCTGATATTCTCTGCTTTCAGCCAAGATCCATCCGATCAGCAATGATAGCTCTCATTCCATGGCCTCTTCTCAATCTGGCTTGGATCTCTGGAAGTTCTCTGTCAATGTATGCTTGCAGCCGTTTCTGTATTACCTTTAGTAAAACTTTACTCACATGGGATATCAAACAAATTGTCCGATGATTTCCACAGTCTGTTGGGTCACCTCTCTTTGGAATGGGCACAAATATGGGTATCTTCCAATCATTTGGCCAGATAGTCATCTTCCAAATTTCTTGGCAGAGATGAGTGAGTGCCTCCTGTGCTGCCTTACTTTCTTGAAAGATTTCAATATTTGTTCCATCAATTCCTGGTGCCTTGTTCTTTGCCAATTCCTTCAATGCACCTTGGACTTCTTCCCTGAGTATCATTGCTTCTTGATCATAGCTGCTTCTGGAAACAGTTGAACATCAACCATTTCTTTTTGGTAAAGTGACTCTGTGTATTCCTTCCATCTTTTCTTGATGTTTTCTGCATCATTCAATAATTTGCCCAGAGAATCCTTCAATAATGAAATTTGAGGCTTGAATTTTTTCTTCAGTTCCCCCAGCTTGATAAATGCTGAGCATGTTCTTCCTTTTTGGTTTTCTGACTCCAGATCTTTGGACATTTTGTTGTAATATTTGGCTTTATAGTCTCGAGCTGATCTTTGAAATTTTCTGTTCAGCTCTTGGACCTCCTCATTTCTTCCATTTGATCTAGCATCTCTACACTGGAGACCAAGTTTCAGTATCTCTTCTGACATCCATTTTGACCTTTTCCTTCCTTCTTGTCTTCTTAATGACTTTCTGCATTCTTTATGTATGATATCCTTGATGTCATCCCACATCTCTTCTTGTCTTCTGTCTTTAATGTTTAATGGTAGCTTGTGAGTTGCTGTGATTCTGAAAGCTGTGCCACTGGTATTTTAAATACCAGCATGATGACCCATGGTGGACAGGCTTTAGATGAGCTTCCAGAAAAAGACAGACTAGGAAGAAGGAGTGATGAACTACTTCTGAATATTTAGTCACTGAAAACCTTACAAATAGCAGAGAAACACTGTCAGATATAGTGCTGGAAAATGAGCCCTTTAGGTTGGAAGGCACTCAAAATGTGACTGGGGAAGAGGTGCTTCCTCAAAGTATGACTGTGATGACATGAATGGAGTAAAGCCCATGGGAGAAAATCCCATGGGACCTTCATCTGTTGATGGGGCACAACTCAAAATGAAGAGAAACAGCTGTAAACATTAATTGAAAATTGGAACATGCAAAGTACGAAGTATGAATCCGGGAAAATTGGAAATTGTCAAAAATGAAATCGTACACATAAACATGGATATCTTATGCATTAGTGAGTTGAAATGGATTGGTATTGGCCATTTTGAATCTGACAACAACATGGTTTACTATGCTGAGAATGACAAATTGAAGAGGAATGGTCCAAATCAGTCATGAGGTACAAGGATGTCTGTGATAGGGTAATATCCATGCACCTACAAGGAAGACCAGTTAATACCACTATTATTCAAATTTATGCACCAACTTCTAAAGCCAGTGAGGACGAAACAGAATTCTACCACCTTCTTCAATCTGACATCAATCAAACATGTAATCAAGATGTATTGCTCATTACTGGTAACTGGAATGCAAAGGTTGGGAGCAAAGAGGAAGGATCAGTAGTTGGCAAATATGGCCTTGGTGATAGAAATGATGCTAGAGATTGCATGACAGAATTCTGAAAAATCAATGATTTCTTCATTTCAAATACCTCTTTAGACAACGTTAAGAGATGACTATACACATGGACCTCACCAGATGGAATATATAGAAATCAAATTGACTAAATCTCCAGAAAGAGACGATGGAAAAGCTCCGTATCATTCATCAAAACAAGGCCAAGGGCAGACTGTGGAACAGACCATCAATTACTCATATGCAAATTCAAACTGAAGCTGAAGAAAATGAAAACGAGTTCAGGAAAGCCAAAATATGACCTTGAATATATCCCACTTGAATTTAGAGATCATCTCTAGGGATTTGTTGTTGTTGTTGTGAAGTGCCATCGAGTCGTTTCTGACCCATAATGACCCTGTATAGTGTTTCCTAGGAGCAGCTGGTGAGCTTGAACTGCCAACCTTGCAGTTCAAATGGCTTTGCAGTCTGGAACATTAACCCACAGCCCCACACCAAAATCTAGGGTTTAGTCCTCCTTAAAATGGTGTGGTGCTGTGGGTTAATGTGCCAGACTGAAAAGCTATTTGAACTGAGAGGTCAGTGGTTCAAGCTCACCAGCTGCTCCTCGGAAACCCTATACATGGTCTCAACAGCACTTCACAACAACAAATAATTTCCCTGAAGAATTAGAAATGAAATTTTGCCTTCCTGGCTAAAGGAGCATTCTGGTTGTACTTCTTCTAACACAGATATAGATTTATATCGCAGTCCATACATAAGAAGCTCTGGTAGTGTAGTGATTACGAATTGGGCTGCTAATCCCAAGGTCAGCAGTTCAAAACTACCAGCGATTCTATGGTATCAAGATGAGTCTTCCTGCTCCTGTAAAGATTTACAGCCTTGGAAACCTTATGCAGGGTTAATATGAGTCAGAACTAACCATGGCACATAATCACCAACCACCCCAATAATTTTTATAAGTCTTTATTGTGAATTGAGTAATAGTTTACACAGGCAGACATCAGCTTTACATTCATCCTATTGTATTTCGTTCCATTGCAATGATCACAATCCCCTCCATTCAACAGCATTTGCTTCCATTCCCTCTGTTTTTTGTTTTGTTTTGTTTTTGAGTGGGAGTGTACAGCTAAGCACTTAGGAATAAATAACCATTCAAATAATCAAAGGGCATACCCTGCAACTTACCCCACCCCCCCGGCTGTCTGCACACAGGCCCTCTCCCTCTTTGAGTCTAGAGTTCCCAGGTGCTCCATCTTGTCAGGTCATCATCTCTGCCTCCATCTCTGGTATCATTGCTTCTCTGTATAGGGTCTCGCACTCTGCTCTTCTCCCTTGATGGTCCCAGGATCC